TGGGATCATAAAAGTACCATGTTTGTCTGAAGAGATACAGTTCTCATAAATGATGCTGACAGGAATTCATTAAAATGCCATAATTTATGGCTTCACTGCCTTTGTCCCATTGTAGCTCTTCAATGATGTTGCCAGGAATCTTTATCAAAGTATCTATGCATGGGTCATTTCTGACTCTTCTAAGACAACAGCTCCAACCTCCACTTTCTCCTCTATCTTCCAGAGTTTTCTGTCACTTAAAATACCAGATGTGCTTGAATGGAAGTGGATTGTGAGTTCTCACATTTAATAGATCTTGTTTATTCTTTAATAAAGATTATGTGAATTTAAATGTTCATAGAAGGTCAGTTGGTCTGAATTCAGCAATGGAATTGGGGAGGGTTTTTGGAGGTCTGTTGGGAGTTTTTTCTGTGTATACATCTCAATTTGATGCAAAAAATTACAGTATTTTTCCCTTTAGTAAGCTACAGCTTAGCCTAGCTGAACATGCATATTTTTTACAGCCTATAGTAAATTGTTTTTCTTGCTACATTCTTGTCTTTCTGCCCTTTGCAATGTTCATCCAACATTCAAATTTAGTAGTCTGCATTTAGAGATGATGTTCAGAAAGAAAATGTAAATAATAGGACTGACTGTGGGCTTAGAACTACTTAAGTCACAGAACACTTAGTTTAGTAGGGTTTATGAAACAGATAGGAATGGCAAAACCTACGTAACATGTTCAACAAAATACCAAATCATTTTTTTATCAGCAAAGGATTTTTATCAGAAATCAAGATTTCCTAAGTGTGCCTTCCCTCAGTTTTCAAGCACTGAAGATCAGAGGGGTGAGCTATCACTCATACCAAAGCAAGTCTTTTTTTTCCTATTTTCTTTAAAATCTGCTGGGGAAAATGAATCATTTTTGACCCAGTCCAATGTATATTTAAAGTCCCTGTGAATCTAGTTCAGATGATCTTTCACTGCTGTGCACCTACCAGTGTGACTTACTATACTGAGCTGCCCATTCTGAATGGAACAAACCAGATCATTCTATGTACTGATATTACTTTGCCTGCCTGAGCTATGATTTTACAGCAGGCCACAGGGTTCAGGTTTCTGTCTGAAACGACTGGGAAACCACCATGCTCAACTGGGATTCTTCTGAGGCAGATGGTTTCCCATCTATTGGTAACTGCTCTGAGAGGAGCTTATTTTGCTCCTCATGATTAACATGTTAGATGTTAGCTCTGGAGTTTCAGTTTTCATTTCCTGTCCTGCACTTACTGCACAGAATCAGTGGTAATGTCAAGTTTAGTCACTGGGAAACTCAGGAGGCAGATACTGAATTTCTGATTTGTGCCAGGAGAGACAAGCACTTGACCTTTTAAACACAAGGGGTTTTTAGGGCAGAAATATTTTCATAGGGTAAATAGTCTATAGGTTATAAGCTCGACCATCTCCACTAAAAATAAGCTGTTTCTGCTGTGTTCACCTCTGGTAAGAATTGATAATTTGCATCCTCAATTCTCAGAGATGTTTTGGAATGTGAATTGGGTTATAATTTTTCCTCATTTTACTTTATAATGATATATAATTTCTGTCCTTCTAGGTCTTTTTTTAGTCACTTTTAGTAGGCTGTTACATTTTTTGGGCTTATTCCTTACTATCTTATCTATGCAATAGTAGGATGCAGCAGCTCTGTATGAGGGGAAAGGACAGAGAAGAATGTAGGTTAACCTACTGCTTTTAACCCAAACTGTCTTCTGTAAAGGTCTTCTAGGACACAAAACCTTACACTGATGAAAAACATGCAACCAAGCTCTCTGTCCCATCCAACACCTACTTTATTTCACCCTTTATTGACAAGAACCACCAAGTGGTGTTGGACTTTGAGTAATTCCCTTCCGTGTTTAAAGTCTTCAGCCCAAAGAGATTTTGCTTCTTGAAAAAGCCACGTTTGTGTGACAGGCAGTCACCTACCCACTGCTCAGAACGCCTACAGTTTCCTAAAATAACAGCTAAAGGTTTTCAGCGTTGCAAATATTAAAGCACAGAGTGAAACTCAGAAAATGTCATGTGGTTTACTCACTGCAGTGGGTAGTTGGGACCATTCAGCACTTCAAAGGTAATTTAAGAGAAGAAAACTGAAAGATGACAAGAGGCAAATGTTGGGTTTTACCAATTTTATTTCTAAACTTTAGGGTTTTTTTGCTGGAAACTTGTCTGTTACAGGTCTGTTGGTGAAAATGTGCATTTCAGACCAGTGATGCCAATAAGTACAATATAAAAATGTACAAATCTGAATTGCTTGCTTACTACAGATTGTTATAACAACGTGACAAATAAAGCATCTCTGTTGGCACGTGAACCCACTTATCTGGATTTGGCCTTTTAGTACATACAATATTTTAAAGAAATTTGCAGTACACACTGCCACTCAGTGTAACACATAATATAACCAACAAGCACTAACTCAAGGATCATGTTTGGTTCAGAGACACAGAGATGCCACGAACAGAAGTGTTTGATGAGGTAAGCAGTAAGAAATGTTCCTGAAATTTGGACAGAATGTATCCAGTCCTCCTGGGTCCTGCGACTGCTAGTAGCATTGCAATGCTTGATTTATGCACTATGTAGGATCTTAACTGCATTTGCCTCAAAATGAGTTCTAATTCTGTTTTGGTTTAGCAGCATACAGGCAACAGCTAGATTATTCTTCAGCATACAACTCTGTTAGCTGGCTTATTTATGAGATTTACAGGCTTTTTAAATTAGCATTCTGCTATAATTAAAAAAAAAAACCAAAACAAATAAAAATTAAAAAAAAACCAAACTAGTATATCATAACAGATTAAACACACAAAATACTTAGAGTTCCAGAAGATAACCTATCATACCAACTGACGTGTCCCAGCTGAGGGGAAACCACATCAGGTGGCACACAAGAGTTATATTATAATGCACCTTTCATATATCAAATGTGGCTAATAACACAGCTTAAAACTACTATGATAATAAACCCCAGATCAGACAAAGAATCCAGCTTTATAAAATGCATAACAACAACAAAAAAACCTTGACATTACTTGATCTTCTGAAATGTCTGCTGGCTTTAAATTAATGCAACCTAGTTGCGAATCGCGAGACCCATTCAGAGCAACGTTCGATGCATTTCCGTTTGCAGTAGAACTATGAGGCACTGTACAAACATTAAACCTGGTCTAGACATGGTTAACTGAAGTATGAGGTATTGTGAAACAGGAACCTTTTTTGGAATAGAGCAGTAATCACATTAAGTAAAAATTGATCACATAAAAAAAAATCTACAAAAAAAATGATGTCAATAATATAATTTTCTATGAGAAAATTAAAACCTATAACATGGCAGTATATGACATTGTATAACAAAAAAAAAAAACTGATCCACAAAATAGCAGCAAAACACAATGACAAAGATACAGAAAAGCAATGTTAATTTTTTTTTCAAACCATGCTGGGAATTTATCCATAGCAGCTCAATAAAGATGGAGCATCCACTCCTTTTCTTTTATCTTTTTCTTTTTTTTTTTTTTATTTTGACTTTTTTCTTTTTTCCTTTTTTTGTTCTTTTTTTTTTGTTTTGTTTTGTTTATGTTGTTGTTGTTGTTGTTGTTTTGTTTTTACAATCAACACCTTAGCGGCAGTTTTCTCACATACATTTCACCATCACATTCTCCTCGAGCATCAACTTCAACAGCTATGTCCACGTCCCTTCAGCTACTTTCTAAAATAATAATAAGATACATAGCCAAGATGTGCAAATTTTCTATTCGTAGCTAAATAAAAAACTGGGGCATATACTGGAATAAAAACTTCTTTCAAGTACTCCAATTTTCAGATCTATTAACTATGGCGTTTTCTCATGGTTAAACTGCTTTTGCAAATGGATAGGAAGGGGCCAAGTTGACTGCTTGCGTTTGGGTTTGTTCTTTGAAGCGTGTCCTTTTTGCTTTAAGAAGCTGTTTCAAACTGCAACATTAAGGGTAGAGAAAGATTTTCTTTTGAACAAGGGGCGATTGCATTAATTTACAAATCATACTGGCCTTAGGAGCATCCTCTGCAATAAATATTCTTTTTAGCCTTAACTATAAATTATATATTTTAGTGTTTAAAAACCTTCAGTTGTAAAACATCTAGCGACAATCCTTAAACTATGTGTCCTATATGTGAACCTTTAAGGCCCCTAATTTATAAAGATGAGTTGGCACCAAAGGATTCTAAACTTCAACTTTTCTATAGAAAAGGATAGGAAGATATCCTGGCAATTTGTGAATGCAATTTCTCTCACTGGAACACAACCTTCAGGAAAAAAAAAATCACCTCTCCGCTAACACCATAGTTAAATGCACTTGCTTTGCAATTCCAAGTTTGCCAACAAGCACTTATATATTTCCAAACCATTCCATTAAAAAAAAAAAATTCCCACACAATAAAAGAATGTATTTCCTATATCTAATGGACTGAAAGTGCTTTGAATGGAATGGTTTTAGAATATTACAAACAAACAAAAAAGAAAAAAAAAAAATAATAAAACCAACAAAAGACTGAACTGTGGATTGAACCTGACCATAATTAGGCTGAATATCTGTGGGGTCAGACCAGCATTTTTACACAGGTAACTACAAAAATAGGAAGATTACAAAAATATAATATATTATGTCACTATTTCGGTTTCTCTTTATAATAGGTACTGTAGGAGTAGTACATTGGCCTTTCCCAACAATGCTAAGCTGGAGCCCTACAAATGCCTTATGCACAGGCAATCCACAGGCACAAAAAAAAAGATTAACATATAATAATGCTGCATACTAACATACACTAACTTATGGGTTACGTTAACCATTTATAAGGTGAAGAGGATAAAAAAAAACAAACTAAGGAAATAAAATAAACATTTACAGATGAATTATAAAGTGACTAAATGCATAAGCAAGCAAGATACAGAAAAGCCTAGAACTGCGTTAAAGCTATGCTTTTTAAAGGAAAAGAATATTTCATTTGCTAGCTAAAAAATAAAAAAAAAAAAACCCTCTTCTACTTTAAAAATGGTTGGTTGGTTGGTTGGTTTTATATGTAAGAAATCAAATCTAATACCTCCCCTGGAGACATTTTGTGTGTTAATGCCTATTTTTACAACATACAGACAAGAACACTTTAATATAAAAACTAGTTGATTATTATTGTATAAAATCCTCTATTTTTGTAGCACAAACCCCTGGGGGTAATGCAAATACTATTTTTTTCTTTTTTTAAGACAGTTTTTGGGGTATTTTTTGTTTATTTGTTTGTTTGAAGTCACAGATGGAAGGGAGACAGAGCAAGAAAAAATATAACAAGACTGTTTTTCCCTTCTGGTATAAAAATGTCCTGGAGAAAAGGGTTTCTGTGGGGGAGATCCTGATGCTGATTCCTTCTCAGATGCCCTTTCTTTGTCTGCTTTTCTTGCCAAGCAAACCCCTTAGAAGAAGTCCTCTTAAATGTTCACATCTCGCACATCAGTAGGTGTGCAGGAGAGGTCTGCTTCGTCCTCTACAGTCTTTGTTTCTGAAGATACGTTGTGCTGCTGTGCCTGGCGTAGACTGGATTCAAGGAGGGATTCAATCTGTTCTTGGCAGGCTCGTAAACAATCCTAGAGAAGATTGAACGGAAGGAGAGAAAGACCCAAGAGTCCTTTAGAAACGTAGTAAGGTCACAGACTAAATACCATTTCTTGAAAAAAGCAGGAGAAATATCAGCGGGTTATTTGGCAGAGCAGCAGACTGAAAGGAGGGTGGGGAGAGCAAGAGAAACAGTAGTCAAAGGAGTGGATGAACCACCCCATTTTCTGTGGGATACCAGGCTGGATCAAGAGTTCAGCAACCAATTCTTGCCATCTGCTATTAAATGGTCTAGGTGAGCATCTCCACGGAGACTGCTGTGGGGTTGTTAGTCTGAGCCCACAGATCTACAGCTGAATGTGGCGGATGCTCCACTATACTCACACTTGTTGTAGCTAACCTGATGCAGACACACATTGTAGCTTACCCTGCTACTTTCTTGCCTGTGCTGTCAACACAGCTGTTGTGTAAGAGTCCATTGATACTGTAACTGTGGTTGCTACTTTTACCGCAGAAATGCTTCAGCACTACAGTCTGCTAGAAGTGATGGACATAAACAGTGATTTTTTCTTTTCCCAGGCCAAGTTCCAATAATATGAAGTTCTTAGATAGAAATGCCATATATATACATCTGGATATACATGCCCAAAGCTGCCTGCCAACTGCTGCTATGTCCAGCAGTGGGCAGCTCAAGTTAAATAATCAATTTCTGACTCCAAAAGCGTCTGAACAGAAAAATGTACTAGACCCCAAAAAGGAGAGGTCCTTCAGAAGCACCACCACAACCATGCAGTGCAGGCCAAGCTTGCTGTTTGCTACCACATTCAACTCAAAATCTCAGTCAGAGGTCTTTTTTCCCTCCCTTCCAAAGCATTTTCTCTGAGCTGAATGTGCCCACAATCCTTAGTGTTCAGGAGGGTGCAAGGGCCTCACTGCCTGCACAGACTTCACTGTGAATTAAAAGCATAAAGCACTGAGGAGGATCAGGTCTATGGTGGGGAAAGGTAACTTCCCACAGGTCTTAAACCATACCATGAGTAGCTATATCTAATTCACAGCAGATAGAACTGGAGAAGGCCTGTTCAACTTTCTACAAGTTATGGAGCTGTGTACACCCACTGCAACAGCACAGAGCACATTGCCTTAAACAGGCAAAACAATCACACCACATTTTGCCAAAACTCCTCCAGGCAGCTGTTTACTCATATCTTTATAACAAACATCGTAAGCTTTTTCCCCAACATATTTAACTCTGTGTATTAAGGACTTTGAAGTTTCCTTTCAGTATTGCCTTTTCTGATTTAACCTATGACATGTGTTAGCCCTTGCGGTGAACCCAGTCTTCCATGATAAATTGCCGTCAAAAGTGTTAGGATGTGCATGACTGAGAATGAATGTTGTTTTCCTGAGAGGGTGACCTGCCTGCTGTTTTCTTTATTTCCCAGTTTCAATTCTGCCTTCATTCAGAGGCTTCTTGTGTGATCTACCAGCTTTTCACTGATTCCACTACCACAAGAATCTCCTCTGCCACCAATAAGGGCACATGGCATTTGGGGTAAAATAAGATTAGAAACCCAAGCAAACAATTCTCTGCAAGTCCTTTCTGAGAGAGAGGGAGGTTAATCCTACCTCTAAGCAGATCAGACCATCAGTTACAGCTCACTGAAAACACATAACCTATGACCTTTTCTGGTTTAAACCCTAGTGTAATATTTCCTCTTGACAGAGACACACAGCGTTTTAAATGACAAAAAGAAAACGCCTCATATCCTAAAGTCATCATGCCTTTGGCTGCTGCATACCTCTGGCCTCCACAATAAGGTCTCTATGAAGTCCTTTACCCCTCCTCCAGATATGATGGATAGATCCTGCCTGTAAGGCTTCTACTTGCACATCCTGTACCACATACCCCAGTCACACTTGGAATTAGATGTATTAAAGAGGAGTACACGGACACAGGTTTAGGTATTTCTGGGTTTACAAATCCAGGCACTTCGGAGGAGAATTCTGGTTTAACAAGGTATCACGTTCAGTGTTCCAAACTGAAAGGAAATTTCTTTTCAGAGCAGAATGAACTCTGTTAGGCTTGTCTTTGTTTGGGTTTTGGGTTTTTTTTGGGGGGGTGGATTGTTTGATGAGTTTTGATGGGAATTTTGTGGTTTTCTTTTTTATCCTAACCATTTGCAGCTAGCATGTTAGAGCTCTGAAAACTAAAACCATTCCAAAGAATTTCTATAAATTCCTATTCTCCTCCCTCTGGGGTCCAGTCATGAATAATTACACAGGACTATGTAATTTAAAGGTACTTTTTGACCACAGAGGTTTTTTTCCCTTTGAAATGCTCAGAGTGCAGCATGTTGTAACTGTACTTTCTTTAACATAATCTCTACAATTTATTGTGAACAGACTGTCTTAAGCTACAGTTGAATGAAAAGTATCTTTTAAATGTTTTAGGCATTTTGTTCATTTCATATTCACATGACTATTAGATAGTTTGCCTGCAGGAATCTGTCAGAGCTTGCAAAAATAACAGCAAAATATAAAATTCACCATGAACAACCTCACCAAAGCTTTTTTTTTTCATTTTCACTACTTCTCAACACTGAAAATCTAATACAAAACTTGTGCATTACTCTGGTAACTTCTCCCAACAACTCTTCTGCTTCGCTGCCCAAATTTTCAATGCCCACAGTTTGTTCAAGGTCATAAACCCTTCCTGGATTAATTAAGCTCCTCAGTAAAAAAAAAAAAAAAGAGACTTGCTAGCTTAACTGATGTGGTCAAATACCTTTAAGACACAGCAGACATGATGAGACTCCAGGGTCAGATAGTAAAGGAAACAAACAACAACAAAAAAGAAACTGCTTGGAAATCCTTTGTTGCTGCCTGACCCGTTCTGGATAACAAGCACATGTTTGAAGGTGCCTCTGAGAAGGGGCAGGCAGGAGACGAATTCCAATGGACTAACAGACAGCGTGGAGACCCAATCTAATCTAGTTTAGCAAATTTCTGGCCTGGAAATGAATGTCAGGTAAAATTCAATCTGTTTGGATGATGGGGTCAAGAATAGAATGATGGAAGACAGCCCAAGACTTCTAATTGTGATTATCTGACTTCTAATTACCCCTGATCAAAGGCAAAATGGGAAATTGGACTCCTACCAATGTAAACATGAACCATAAAGGAATTCCAATCAGGTGATATTCATTTTACTTTAGATTCAGCTTTCTTTGAGACTAAAGGTAAAAAAGCGTAATTATGTAACCTGAAATCCAACAGACCTGCAGCCCTAACTAACAGATAATCAGGGAGAATGTCAGCCATGCTCTTGATATTCCAAGACAACCCAATATGAAGCACATTCATTTGTGCAGCCTGATGAGGGGAAGCATCACTGTGGAATAACACACTTCACAGACATGCTAGTGGAATAGAGTAACAGGATGGATTTGATACCATGGATTACAGAGGCACAGCTCATGATAAAGTCTCTGCAGGAAAATCAGGCTACGTATGAAAACAAGCTGTGTTCTGCTCTGAGTAGTGGAAGTTGCTGTTTCCTTATTCCACTACAAAGATAACAGTTTATGTACATACACATAAAACTTCATGATGCTAATTTTCCCTAGCAACCCATACAAAATCCTCACTTCTACCTCTGGCTGCTCTAACACATGAATATGTTTAGCACTGAAAGCTGGAGGGGAGTCACTTCCTTTTAAAGCTGTTAACTAAGCTCAGGTCAAACAGATTGTGGCCTTGCAATGACTCTGGACAATAAAAAAATAAAATAAGCAAAAAATTCTCTTTCTTGCTGAAACAACTTGATTTTAAAGAGCTCTGTCATCAGCTAAGTCAAGTCACATAAGGACATGCTGTTGTTCTCCAAGACATGACAAAAGCTACTTCCATGCTCTGTATCAGGAATGATTAAATAATGTTGTTTGAGTCAAGATACTGTCTGAACAGAGAGCAAGCCTAGTATTTTCCTTCTGTACCTGCTTCAAACACCTCAGGCTGGACAGTGGCCAACCATGCGCTGAAATATCTACATTGCTCACACCCTGACTAAAAGCATTACATGTATGTACCAAACTAAGCAGCATATTATTTCAGCACTACAAGTTCTTACAGTATTTAACACTTCAGCATTGGGATATGGATTACTTTAGCTACAGTAATAGAAATGGCAAAAGTGGCACTGTTAAGGTGACCAAAATAATAAGCTGAGATATATTTTTCAGCGATTGTTTCACAGTCTAGCAAAGGTAAAATATAGTTTTGTGAATAATTCATTTTGATGCATTCATCTTTCCAGAAATCACTCAGACCTGTCAACAAAGTCCAATTATACAAACCTAGATTTGCAGTGACTGGACTAGTACAGTTCTCTATGCATGTAAATTATTAACATGTAAAATAATTTAACAGCATCTCAAAGATTCTGCCCCTAACCACAGAGTTGTCTTTATTTGACTCATTGTCCAGTGCTTGGAGACCTCACAAGAACCTTTTTAAAGCATCTATTTATTGGTCTTCCACATTGTTACAAAACAAAGCTCAACTCTGCCCCATCTTCACACACCATTATGACATGGATCATTGACTTTAGATCTTCCTTGTAGGCTCCCTTCCTGGCCCATTCATTTCTGAAAGGTTTATTGCTCACTAGTTACTGATGTGCATCTCCTGGAAGCTGCAGGGCAAAATGAGAGTCCTGTGAGGACCATCTACCTTGTCAGAAAGTCGTGGGACAAGCATTTGTTCCAAAAAGGAATTCTATACCAGCTACTGTGCAGGTCCAGCACGTAATAAACCAAATTAGATCATTAGAAGTCTTTTAAGAAGGGCTTTTTCACACCACTTGGCACAATAAAAAGCCTCAAGAATGGTCAAAGATAAGGTCAGAGATACCACGAGGTCTCAGTAACTATTTCCTCGTCTTTTTCTCGAAGTTTTGTTTTACACAGACTCCTGGTTTAATTACACACAACCCAACGGTCTCTGCCACCTGCTTTGCTTTGTCAGATAACACCTCTCTCTCACAAACATTAGGGCTGGATGTGGCATTCCTATGGGGAACTGCAGCAGCATAATCACAGATCATTAATGGATATAATGACAGCTAAACAGCCAGGATGGACAGAGAACATATTCAAACACCCCACTCCAAGGTTTGACTTTTAGCTACTGTCAGATTAGCTACTATGCAGCAAGCAGGAATTCATTCTTAAACTCTAAGGCAGGAGATCAACCAAGAGAAAGAGTCACTTACCGGATCACATTTGATAACTTGTGATAGGAAATTTGTGAGGCCTTGATAGGAGAGGAAAGAGTTAGTGTTCCCCAGATGCAGGCCTTGCACAGCTGCTACCACACTGCCAGCTGCGATCATGGAAGGTGGGTTTGAAATAAATTTAATATCTGTATGAAGAAAGGAGAGAGAAAAAAAAAAAAAAGACTGAAATGATTGCTTTAGGAGAAGCCTGTCCATACACATACACTCTGCTACCAGCACGGCTTCAGCTGCCAACTATTGCATCCAAAACTGTGAGCAGAGAGGTGCCTCCTGCTCTAAACTCTTACAGGTCCAAACCTGTAAACACTTATCCACATGAGCAACTGCACTGCAGTGAGTGGCCCTTCCTAGCACTAAGCCTGCAAGGCCATTCATCACTTTGAGGTATTTTTATCATGAGCAGGGCCCCCATTCTTTAATGCTTAAAATGCAACTTAAAATACTTTGCTCATGTGAATAACGCCACTGGGGTCATTGGCACTATACATCTGAGGAAACCTGTTCACATTCTGAAGTGTTTTGCATGATCAGATCCTAGGTGCACTCTAATAACGAGTCCTCAGGCCCTTTAAAGCAGAAACCTTTGCACTGACATTCAAAGGAATATAGCTTTAATGAACAACAACATCAACAAAAAGAAAGAAAAGAGAGAGACGGCTTAACCCTGTCAGGAGGCAGATAATCCATATTTAAATTAAGGTTTCATCTTAAAAATGCTTTGTCTCAACCTAGTCTCTTGTCAGTGGCTGCCATCCATCCTGGCAACAGGGATTTAATGTAAATGTGGCATAACTAAGTGACGGGGGTCCCAAGAATTGGCGGACAATCAGTTACATTCTGATGTGACACCATGCTGACAAGAGGCTGGGCCCCCTTCCAGACTGCATTGCTGTAGGTCTCTCCACAAAGCCACTCCCATGATTCCTTAAGGGGCTATCTCTGCCATTTAGCATGTTTTTAGTTTGGGTTTTGTTTTGAGGGGTTTTTTTTAATAAGAATAATCCACATTTGAATGCTAAGGCTTTCTGCTGAACAGGAATGTGTTTGATCTGGGCAGTGTACACCTTGCAGGAGAATCAGAAACAAAGGAAGTAAGTGGCACAAGTAAATGTCTAATTTGTTGAGGAAGAAAGGGAAATGCCACATTGTACACCAGAACCTGAGATACATTCCTTCAGCTTTTATCAGAATACAACTTCCTCTGGGTTGAAAAAATATAAACCATCTGTCAAACCCTTGAATGAAATCAAAGGAATGGACAGCTTAGAGGGCTCAGTGGAACACTCTAAGTATTAAATCATGCATCTCCTTTATTATGATAAAATAACTTTTGTGTAAATGTTTTACCAGTGAAACCAAAGACTTCAGGACTCTATGAAAGTCCTGGCTCTGAGTCTATTCATACACCTCTGACACTCCATTGTGGCCCTGACCAATACCCACCTTCAAAGGGGCATTTCACCCAACATTCTATCAACCTTCAAAACTAAACTGGGATGATGAATTCTGGCCAAAGTTTTGTCATGCATTGCCAGCGAAAAGGCAAGCTTGATCTAAAGTCACCTCAGTTATGTTACCATGTCTCAAATAAATATACTTCATCCCCTTTTCCTAATCTGCCCCATTTCCAGGCAGATATAAGTACACCCACCTTCTAGCAAGCTGCTGTCATTCCCAAAACCCAGAGTAGTCCAGACAGCTTATTGGCACTATGCACATCCCAAAGCCAGTCCCTAACTGAAATGCTGACACATGGTGCAGGTAGACATCGGAACTGGAGGATTTCAGTAGGCAAGCACGAATCCCACCAAGACGGGGTTGCTCGGAGGGGTACGGTGGCAGCGCCTTCGCGACACTATTTACTGAGCTCCACAAACAGGACATGACCAAAATGTGTCAGTTTAATGAGTCTGTCCTGACAGGATCACGTTTGGGATTAATATTTGCGTTCTTCTTTTAAATGGAGCAGTAAACAAGAACATGAATTCATAGTCACACCCTCATTCTTTCCAAGGTGGAAAAGTGATAATGAAGTTTAAATGACCAGTTTGTGTCTGTCCCTATAACCACTCCAGACAAGCAGCATGGACTGCCTTTTTGTTGCAACTCAACAAGGAATTATTTGTGGCAGAGGCCACTAATTTCAGCATATTAATCAGGGGGCCCCTCTCGCCTGTAATTGGATGCCCCCAAGTGAAGAGTGTGGCATCATTGTCAGCCTCCATCGCCTCATCTTGCGCTATTGAGCGCTCAGGAACAAGGGGGCTTCGGTGAGATGAATTAGACCTGACACAGCCACAATGGGGTAGGGGGCCCCATCAATTGAAGCACACATCCCCAGTAGCCTATCTGAGACTTCATCCAAAAAGAATAAACAACTTCAGCGTTGTTAAAAAGAGAGAGAGAGAGAGAGAGAGGAGGGGGAGGAGAGAGAAGAATGCCAGCCACCCTGAAGGGAGGACAAAGCAGGCATATAGGCGCTGCAGCGCTTTAAAAAAAATTCCTAACAAGGCGAGTCACCCCTTTTCCTTTTTAAATGGAGCAGCAATTCCATCCGTCTGGAGAGCTGGGGGCTATGAATGAAAATCTTTTCATTGAGGCAAATCAAAACTGCGAACATAAATCACTTGCTGCAAGATGCAACAGGTTCCAACTGGTCACATACCTTGAGACTTCCAATTTTATAAAGGCCAGAGAATAGGAGAATTGTAACACGCTTGTTTCAAAGGGGATCTTTCTTTCTCCATGCGAGAGGAGCAAAGCAACAACAATAATAATAGCAATAATAATAATATAAAAGGAGCCTGGTATGTTTTGATAACCAGAGGAACATAATGAAATGCTGAAGCTCCAATATTTGTTGCTATTCATTGTTATGCTTGTATAGAGCTGCAGTTCTCCCTCAACACTGGTCTTAACTTGGGCCAAAAGAGGCCTGCTTCCTTTTGAGCTCTCCCTGCCTTGCTCGGCCATGCCAAAGCCCCATTCATTAAGCTCAATTATGTGTTAACTTCAAACAACCCCTGGTAATTTTTTTTTTTTTTTTTTTTTTTTTTTTTTTTACTTTTTCTCCCAAACCTACCACAGCACAAAGACATCCTTTGGTCAAAATGGATTTTTCAAAACCAAACCAAATCAAACAAATCCCCTTCTACTAGCCAGACAACTGAAGAGGGAGCTTAGAAGGAATTCCCCTCAATTTCACCTTGCAGCGTAACCTTCTCTTTCTGGAGCAAACACATACACACTCATCTACAAACACTTCCACAGCCTTCACCTTGTTAAGCCAACTGGCCAAGGTTTTATTTTCTAAGCAAGCATTATTCTGCATCTCCTCTTACGAGAACCTCCTTTACAGAAGAGGACACAGGCTGTACTTCCAGCAAAGGATAGACTGCACTTGCCCCTGAGGCCACTTAAGTGGGTGTCAGTGTTTCCAGTGGACTTTGGATTGGGCCCCACAGCATCCAGGCAGCACAATGCATTTGCAGTCCATCTAGGTTCATTTTGGCCAGGGGAAATACAACACAACCCAGCAACAGCAAAGCAAAGTCCAGATGCTACTTAAGCCACATGTGATCTTCACTAGCCAACAAAGAAGTCATGAGGAAAGCAAAAGGTAGAAAAAATCCTGCCATCCAAAAATAACAATAAAAACACAGAGCCTAGTGGCAGCTTTCCCCAGCGCTCCTTCCCCAGGCAATATTCCCAGCTTCAGGAGGGAGCTGAAGAGGGCCCCAACTCTGGTGAGCTCAGCGCTGGTTTTTTTTAAAAGCTAAGTAAAACTCCCAGAACATGGTTCTCATTTACTGATCCATTCTCCAGCTGTGGTGTGTACCAGTGTTAAATAAAGGCTCTGGATATGCTTCCTAAAAGCAACATAACAACACCGACAGTAGATCAAAGTACTGGACTCTTAGCAAGTCTCCAACCTTTGAACTACTCTTGTTTTCATCCCTGTCATTGCCAACACAACAACCCAGGTTAAACATCCCCATATCCAAAGGGGAGGCAGGGTAGCTGTTCCTTTTAGCTAACAGCCGAGGAAGCTTCAAACTTAGCAAATCACAGGTTCAGAGTCGCAGCAGCCTTATCTGGTAGAATCTGGCACGGAGGGTTTGACTTTCCCAAAATGTTGCTGCCGGTAGTTTGAAGGCTGTTTGAAGGTTGTAGCGCTCCCAACACCGAGCATTATTCCAGGCAACCTAACCTACGAGCTGCCTGTTACGCTGATGTTAGGCCCAAGATGAAGAGCAATGCCAGTGTTTATAAATTTCTCTTTTATGGCTTGGTTGTTCTATCTTTAGGCCACGCAAGTAAGGCCGATTCTGCGAAATAAAAAAAAAATTTGTTTTCTTCTGAGTGCCTGCAAATCTTTCTTCAATCTTTTTAATACCAAAAATCCATCTCTGGAAAATAAACTACACAACATTAATTTGTGCCATTGGCCACACACATCCCACCGAGGTTTTTCAAGTGTGGATACCACTACTCGGCGTCTTTGGAGGCTGGCCCTGCTCATGGCTTCAGCACAGCACGTGGTCAGGAGGGTGCAGATGGCAGCGGCTCGGTCCCGTGCCAGGAAAGCCTCTGTGCCGCGTGGCCCTCCTCCAATCCACCAGCCACCGAGGAGGGGGGGAAGAGGCAACTTGAAGAGGGAAGTTTTAAAACCCCCACGCAGAGCTATTCACAAGCAAAATCTCCCTCCGCCTTTAAAAACTGTCTTAAGAATGAATCCACACGGGGAGGGATTCCCCGCACGTGCAGTAAGCCTTTTGCAGCCCCCACACACACACACACACACACCCGGTGTGTGGAGGTGAAGACATCGTGCCACGCTGCGCTGCGACTCCACGGGCTGAGCTACAGAGAGGAGGGGGATCCTTCTCCCTCCCTGACAACAGCACCAACTCCACCTCAGAAGCGAAATATCTTCTGAAAAAAACCAACTTACCTCTGCAAAGTAATCCACCTTCTGCAAACAAGGGGCAATAATCTGGGCTTAAACTACCTCCCCACAGCTCTGCGAGTGCTTTAGACCACAGCTACGGGAAGCTTTACAAGCTGGGGGGTAGGCGCGTGTCGGGGAGCAACACGCTTTGCGCAACGTGCAGGGCTCATACCTGTAGCGCACAGAGCCACAAAAGTCTGAGCATGTTTACGGATGATCTGCTTGGTGTCCTCTACCAGAGGCATTTTAGTAAGGAAATGTTCAATGAAATCGTGGGGGGTCATTGCAGCCAGATTCCATTTCAGCTTATTCACCAGCAGCAGCTCCATTTGCTGCAAAGAGAAGAGGGAGGGAAGGGGGAAGGAGAGAAGAGGAAGGGGAAGAGTGTGGTTAGAGCCGCTCAGGACCGGCAGCATCGCAGCTGGGCCAGTCAGCTCCCGGATTGGCCACTTCCCCGGGGAGCAGGGGATGTGCTCTGGGGGGTCCCCCTAAGGTTCGGGGTGTGCTTTGGGGGGTCTCCCGGGGGTCAGGGTGTGCTTTGAAGGGCCTCCCCAAGGTGCAGGATGTACTCTGGGGAGTATCCCCGAGGTGCACAATGTGCTCTTGGGGGTCCCCTCGGGGTGCAGGGTCTGCTCAGAGGGGTCTCTCTGGGGCACGGGGTGTGCTACGAGGGGTCCCCCCGAGGCGCACAATGTGGT